TTTTTTTTTTTTTTTTTTTTTTTTTTTTTTTTTTTTTTGAGTGTGTACCTGTTTCAGTTGGCATGCTGAAAATAGTTGTGCCGTCCATGAACTGGCAAATGAACCGTTTGCCACAATATTGCTGAGTCATTTGGTTTATCAGCTGCTCATGTTCTCTTACTTGTTCAGCATAGGCGTCGCTATTTGTCAAAAAAAAAGTGACAGCTGTGCCATTGTTCAAACTCATTACGTCATGCAGCTTCAAATAGTGATAAAAAGGTCGATTTGAGAGGTACTTCAGAAAACCATAATCTTGGAATTTGCATGCATTTCTTGGGTAGCACTTTTTTGTTTGCGCATTCACATTGTCAAAGTAACGTGGGAATATACCTTCCACATATTTGACAATCGGAATGTAGTATTTTAACATTTCTCTGTTGCGTTTTTCGTCTGGAACAACTCCTTTATTGTACTCACGCTGATTATTATTTTTCATAAGTACTTGCAGTTTCGGACGTCCTTCCTTGGCTTTGGGATTTGTTGGTGCTTCCCTTTGTGTTCTACTTGTTGGCAGAAAGTTATTCCATATTAACATCTCGTCAAACAAAGAAAAGAGGATTAAAATCCCAATTATACACAATACCACCCACATTTTAGGTGTTAAAAAACCCTGTGATCTCTTTGATGTGGACATTTTTTAATAAAGTGCAACCTTGCCCCTTTTTAGTAAACGCAAAGGTTTCAGTTTTTTGAAAACTGCAAAACTGTATTACTTAAATAGTAAATGACATATGCTTGCCTTTTACCTAAACCTGCTTTTTTTGTTATGAAATGTTTGAAACCTACAGGTATACTGATGAAAGTACAAACGTGCACGGGATATGAAATAAAAGCGTTTTTTAAAAAAATTAATGAACAACTACAAGCAATTTTGCAACAATTTTCTGAATTATTTCCCAAAAATATAATTAAATTTGAGTGTTTATATTTATTGTGAAATTTTTTAAAAATTTTTTGTATTTTACTTTTGCATTAAAAAGCCAGTAACGAATTTCAACGGACCACAAATTTACAAAAAAAGTAAAACTAGTTTATTTTTATTCATAATGCGGCATTTTAGCTGTTCGGTTTTTTTCAATACACCGTAGTTGAGCTAAAAAATACATTAGAATGCAAAAGAAATTAGCACCTAAAACGGCGCATTATAGAGATTATGGATTTTCCATATGAAGAAACGAGACTTAAACCTATTTTTTAAGAAAACTACGAACCGTGTTGTTTTTAAATATTATTTTGTTTTTTTCCATCTTCAGTAATTGTTTTAAAACTTCGTGTTTGTATCGAAGTATGAGATTTACTAACTTTTTTAAAGCACTTTTAAAAAAATTCCACGATAAATGTTTTGCATAAATTTTTGTCAAAAGACAAGAGATTTTGTAGTGAAACGAATAACAGTTGAATTAATGCACCAAACAAAAAAAAATAAATGACGGTGTAAATTTTATGTTATGATAGCAAAAGAAAAATTTTTTGGTATTGTGTATGTGTCAATTACCGGATTGCAATTTTAGATTCGATCTATTCTATTCAAGCACTGTCAGCGGTAGTAAACGCTTAAAAAAAGATTCCCAATATCAAAAAATTCAAGAAAACGTTTGTCTTGATTATGTGGTGGATTCGGTCTGATTGCTGCGGTGTTTTTTGTGCGTTATTTGTTGAGTGACTTTGTTTTTTCTCGAGTCTTTAAATTTATTTTTCCAAAATTTGCAACGTTGTTAAAACGGACAAACAAACAAAATGTGCAGACAATTTGCTTGATATTCTTTGCTGCCGTAGTACAAGTGTACTATGTGTTAGGTCCATGGAAAGGATACATGTCCCCACATGTGATGTTGTATTTGACAATGGCATTAGCGGCCTCAGTATCACACACGAAATGCCAATTTTCCAATCCAGGAAGCGTGCCATTGGAAGCAATCGACGACAACACATTGACTGAATTGGAAGTGCTTGATAAATCTCGATTGAAATGGTGCAAGCATTGCAAAAGATACAAACCCACAAGCGCACATCATTGCAGCAGCTGTGAGCGATGTATTGTAAGAATGGACCACCATTGCCCCTGGGTTTGAACTTTTTTTTTCCCTCCCCCTTTTTTTCTTTTCTCCTTAAGACAATTGCATTTATTTTTTTTTTAAAAAAATTCATTGAAAACAGGTGAACAATTGCGTGGCAATGTTCAATCAAAAGTATTTTTTGCAATTTTTATTGTACACTGGATCCCAATGTTTATTTTGCTTGGTTTCATTGGCATCACGCTTTTTCACGTGCAGCACCATGTCTGTATCGGTAGCTGAGCGATACGCCGCCAAACGTAACCTTGTCCCTTCTTTTGTTATGTTCTTTTTTTTTCAAAAAAAAAAGGGGGAGAAGAGGCAACATCTTTTTTTTAAAAAAATTTTGTTTGTTAAAAAAAAATTTTATTGGTAAAAAAAAAAAAAAAATGAAAATAAAAAGTGTGAAACAAGTTCTGCCGATATTGTTTGTTGTATCCTCAACTTTATCGAGGCTATTTTATTTGGATTGTTCAGTTCAGAAATAGCCAACAAATACATGAAGAAAAAAAAAGGGTACACCTTTGTCTTATTTATTTATTTATTTTTTTTTTTGTTTTATTTTAATGGCCTCTTTTGTAAGTTACACGGATTGTGGTTTTGTTTGATGTTAGCATTTGTAATGTTGTATGATCAACTGTGCGCAATATTTGCAAATACTCCGTATATTGATTCATTGAAGGGACGTCGAGGATCGAAAAAAAATAGGTATGAATGCATGAAAGATGTCATGGGAGAAGCTTTTGGCATTCGCTGGTTTTTACCGTCACCATTAACCCCAACTAGTTTAGTTTTGTTTTTTTTTTGTGCTAAGCTCCAAATATATTTTTTGTGTGTTCATTTCGCTGGGAATAGTGAAAGACAACTTTGAATCAATCATTGCCAAATTGATCAACGACTAACTGAAATAAAAACGATTTGCAACCAGTCTGTTGATATTCACCTAGGCAATCAATTCTTACCCTTTTTTTTAACATCTTTGCCTTTGTTTTCAAAGACTGTTTTACCAAGTTAATATTTGTTTCACCAATGTAAACAAAATAATGGAAATTCTGTCATAAAGTAACAATCTTGGGAAAGGGAATGAGAAGACAACCACGGCAAACTACAAATATGTTGCTTTTTTTTTTCTTTGGTTCAAGAATGGACAAGTTGGCTTCTTATGAAAATATCATTTTTACTCGTGCACAAATCTCAAAACGCATGCTACTTTTTTATGTTCATGCTTTTCGGAGCGGTTGATAAAGATAGACTAACTCTATAACTGCGTAAAGCAAGAGATAATCTTCTTTTTAAAATTGTAATTGCTTTGAAAATATTTTAAATTACACAAACATTTTCAAACAATGTACCGTTTTATTGTTTTTAACATCATAGACCGTTTATTGTTTTGGTGTGTTCTTCTTAAAAAAAACTCAAATTTACACCCTTGTGTCGTCAAGTACAACAGAAACAAAATTTTCGCATTTGAGACAAATGTACTATACATTGTATCAACTCAAAGAAATCTCAAAATGATTATCAAGATCTATCACAATAACACTAGCAACAAAAGGTAATGACAAAAACTAAAGCAAGAACGCGAAGTAATTTATAATTAAACATTAAAGAATTTTAACAACAAAAGTTGGTACTATTGACAATAACATGAAAGCATTTAATGCTGAAAAAAATTCATAAAGATATTAAAATTACTTTTGATTTTTTAATGATTAGTAACAAAAGTACTGACAGCAAATATGCAAAATACAACAATACATAACCAAAATAACAATTTGAAATTACCATTTATACAAAGAAAACAAAATAAAAGACGGAGACATATATACAGCGAAGATGAAGAAAGTATATACGATAATGCACCAAACTCAAAGAAAATTAAAGTACACAATGTACCACCATTGGAAAAATAAACGCAAATATAATAGATCAAAATTTCATTGAAGAATCAAAGAGGAAAAAATATTGATGAAAAACAAGATCAAACGGAAAAAAAAGAAATAACAGATGAAAACATCTGACAACAAAATAGGAAAATCAGGAGAAAATTTTTCTGTTCAAATTTTCCCAAATTAGTGATCACTCATGTACAAGGACGTGCACTTCTGACTCCATATGTACTGCTGAAATTTTTGAGAATAGATCATTTAGTTGCAAAAAAAATAAAAACGCATAAATATTCAATCAGCTGGAAAACAATATACGTACACTTTTCAAAGATATTCAACCAGAGGAATTGGAGGCAATCGCTGAAAATTTTAACATATTTCACAAACAATAAATCAGTACATAATCCTGAAGTAAATAAATATTTTCTTCTCAAAAACGTGGACATAGCAGAAACAGAAGAGTCAATTAAGGATAGCCTCGAACAGTATGACTACAAGGTTAAAAAAATCGAAAGATTCAAACAAATGCATATCATTAAAATACTAATGGAAAATGCCGAAGATGTTACTAAAATATTAAAAGATACAGAAATGTGTATTGGATACAGACACATACAGACAGAAATATACGATAATAATAGACGACCTAGACGACATTTCCGACAATGCAAAAAATATTTTTGCCTGAATCACATAGAAGCGCAGATGCCTACCCTAGAGCTGCGAAGACAACAGTAAGAAATCAAGATGTATCATCGCTGCATTCAGCTATCTGAACAATTCCCAAGTCACAATATGAGCATAGCATATCGTTTGTGGAAAAAGAACCACGAAACAAAAAAGGATGAATTCTTTTGTTGGAGAGGAAAGTTATCACCATTGTCCAGAGCCTGCATCCATACAGATGAACTCGATATACCAGATATATGCCCTATAAAACGTGAAATCACGCACAAACCTCAATCAATGGGAAAAAAGAAAATACCACAATCAATAAAGGCTCCTTTTGTAATGGGCAAGAGCCAACACAGGAAGAAATGTTGTATCAATCAACACTAATACTGTTGTAATTTGGAGCGATAGAAGTACATTTCCAAACCCAGGATATGGTAGAGTTGGATTGGTAGTCCAAGATTCTGATACTTCAGAGTGGATTGAAATCGAATACTCAATCAAAGATACAATTACAAATATCGGATGCGAAATTGAAGGTTTGAAAAAAGCAATTGAATATTCAATAGAAAATTATAAAGGCAAAGACAAAAGAGTTGTGATTCTAAGTGATTGCAAATTTGCTGTTAATGTAATGCTAAACAAAGTACATCCTGATAAATACAAAGAACAAATACAAAAATGTCATGATATTCTACAGTCTCTTGGAGAACAAGACACACCAGAGATATACTGGATCAAGGGACATTCCGGAATCCCAGGAAATGAAAAAGCGGATAAACTGGCAAAAAAAGCAAGGAAAAAAGCTGATAATTGTCAACCAGAACTACATCAGATTGTGAACAAGGAAAAAATAATTGTAACAATCCAGGACTGGCTCCATCCTATGCAATGGAGTGGAATCGTCACTGGATAAATGAAGGGTCAGAACAAAGAAGACACCAGCATCCGAAACAATTTATAAGAAATTTAATCGAAGCGCAATTGTTTGAAAAGATTGTATCCAATCTATTACAAGCACATGAAAGAAAGATTATCTGTAGACTAATAACGGGAAAAGTTATGTTGAATCAATACCTGCATATTATCAAAAAATCAGAGTAATCTGGATGTAGATGCATATAAGAAGTAGAGTCTGTGTAACATTTTTTGATGAAATATCCATACTATGAATTCATTAGGAAAATCTGTCACTCAAACGTCAAGATTTTGGTACCAGAATCACAAGGAAGAAACTTAAAATTGATAGAATTACTCATAGGACGGACAACATGGAGACCTGACATCAGAGTAAAGGTTGTGCAAGAAGCTGTAAAATTCGTAGTAGCGTCAAAAAGAAATATATAGCGTCAAATAACGAAATGGAAAACAACATATACAAATATATAGAGCTATATAATTGAGAAAATAGTTGATTTGTTTTGCGATTGTTTCTTATTTTATTTA